TATTGCTGCTTTGGTAGGGATCGGACCGGGGTTACACAGGGAATGCGAAGAGATCACCAGACACGGATAAAATACGAAGAGAACGCTATAAGCGTCTCTACACAAAATTTTTACCACACTGACTCTCATGCATTCCCTTCAACCCCCTTTATATACAAACATGGCCACATTCGTCCAATTAGAATGCTTGAGAGATCGGTTTATTTATCTGATAAAAACAACGTTCTTCGCACTAAAGAAATAGGATAAGATAAGCGTGCAAATATTTGTCAATATAATTTGACACTGGTTTTGACGTCCATTTTGACGGGAGAGGCGACCTTTGTCTCTTTAGAACAATTTGGATTTGTTCATGGCAGGTCAGCAAATGGATTTATCGCCAAAATTACCCAATTTATCGACGAAAGGCAGGCCCACTGGAGTAAAACTTTGGCCATCAGCTTATACATTAGCAAAGCAGTTGACACTGTCTGGAAACCGGCCAGCATTCAAGGTCTCGTACGCCTGGCTTGCCCCCATTCACTCTGATCTGTCTTGTGCAAAGTTTTTTGGAAGTGTCTTTCTCCGCGTGGACAGCAACCGCCTTCACATTTTCTCAACTTGGCATCCCCCATGGTTCTGTACTAAACCCATTTCTGTGGAACGTCATTGCCCGGTTTCTCCCATTAGAGACCGTTTACTATTCGTCTGTTGACTCAAGTTCGGGGCCGTCTGCCGACCAAAGTTACTAACAAATTTCTTTATAAAACAGTTCCACATGGAGCACTAAGAAGGGACTCGAGCTGAACCCCAGAAAAACGCAAGCCTGTAAATTCCTGTGGCGAAGAATCCGCCCCAACCCCGGCCCTGGACTCAAAATTCTTGGCCATCTCATCCCTATTAGAAAGACTATAACTATCCTGGGGGTGGAATTCGACCAGACACGAGGATTCGTCTCTCACTATCCAAACTCATTCACAGGTGTCGAGAAATTGTTCCAAGATTAACTAAATCCATAGGAAATTCGGTATCTCCTATATTGCTGGCATCAGAATCCTTCAGTCGGTGGTCATCCCGGCCCTTCTATATGAAGTGTCAGCCTGGGGTCGTCGCGCTTCCTCCAAGGAGGGTGCCCGTCCGCTCCGCAGCATCCAATACACATTAGCAAAGCATATATTGAGAGGGGATCCTTGTACGCCAACCATACCAGCCATATCCCTGACAGGCAGTCCTCCTCTTTACATCATCATCCAGGCCCGGCTGGCTTTCCTAAAGGAGATCAAGGAGGGGAACTACGAATCGAAGCCAGGACCTGCTGCTCTGACATACCCCCCATTTAGAAAACCCCTTTCCTTCAGTTTTAACCTAGAAGAGGTAACAACGCCACTAACTTTCACTGATGGATCAAAAAGTGATTCAGGCGTTGGTGCTGCAATCATCTTCCCTTTCCAAGAACGTCAGCCAGTTCTCCTACGGCTTCACCCATACTACACACTGCCTTTCAAGCTGAACTCTTAGCAATTCTCTGGCAGCTCAACTCGCGGAGATAAGTCCAACCAAAGCAGGAATGACTACTATCTCGGACCGTAGATCCACTTTAGCAGCTATCTGCTCCTCGGAATCAATACGTACATCGCTAGTGGCGAAAATAATAAAAGTAATTAACAGATCTACTCACATCAGGCTGTGTTGGGTACGCGGACTTATTGGAATCAATGGCAATGAACTAGCAGACAGTGCAGCAAAAATTGCCTCTACTTCTGTCCTACCATACTCATACTCCACCTTGCCTCGAACTCATGCTCGAAACCTAAGAAAGACTATCATTTTAGAGAGAAGAGAGAGAGAGAGCACGATTGTTTTATTTTGTAAATAAAAAAAGCTTTCCTTGTTTTCTTTATTGCAATGGAAATATATTAGGAGGGTTTGGCTCACACACACAACAGTGGGGAATCGTCCCAGAGGTTTCGCTAGTTAAATCCACCAGATGTGTGATATTGCATGGATGCAATTCATTTTTTATTCAACAAATTCTACTGCCCATACTGCGGAAATAAAAATAATGAAAGAGAATAGATCATTACTGGCGAACCCTCCCAGTGGTATTAATAGTTTAATCTAACATGCCCCTCTTATGTATCTCTACTTTCCTCAGAGCTTATGTCCCTATTTATATTATATATCTTTACCATGGATTTATTCACAGTACCGGATATATAATCAAAACATCTTAATACAATATTTAAGCGATATGGTATATTAAACTGGCGAAACCGCTGGAAGGGCTCACCACTGATGAGCAAGGGTCCTCTCATTATTTTTATTATAGAAGTAAGGGCAGTAGATTTGATTTGTATTGTAGTAAAGTATTTATTATTTTATTAATTTTGATATTTATATTTTCTACTCTGTAAACTTCCTTTATTACTTCTCTGGTATTTAAGAAATGTTGAGTAGTTCTTGTCTTTTTTAAGCATCTTTTTTTGGTTAGCAGCCCCGTAAATAAAGATAAAAAGATATTCTTGCCTTAAATAAATTACTGTGTCATCTTCAGTCCGCTCCAGGAAGCCGGGTTACATCAAGAGATTGTGTCATCCTGAGGTTTATCTTGAAGATAGAGGTTGCCTGTCCGCCATTCATTGTTTTTGAAGTAAGAGACACTTCGGCCAGTAAGTCTTTCCTAATTTTATACCTTACAATCATTGAAAAATCGAGCTAAATAGTGTAAATAGAAGCTAAATCCTTGTTGTAAATCAACATTATTATAAGTGCACCACATGTCTACACATGTGAAAAGCAGTTCGACTTTGCACTTACAAATGTGCCAGAACCCCGTTTGGTTACTTGCACTCGCTGGTGGGGTTGGACTTTTGCAAGAATCGGGGGCCATTGGAGCATTTTTTTTTTTTTATCAGAAAAAAATTGCCCAATGCGGGAATTGAACCCGGGTCGTAGCGGTCGAAAACCAACGGTTTAGACCATCCTTCCACCATTGGCATTCAACATTATTGAATGTCAATGATGGGTGTGACAGGTGTCGGTGTTTGTCCGGCTCCCCTCTGTCACACAACAGTACAGTGATGCCGAAAATGCCACAGAACTGTAAGTTCAACAAAGTCCATTGAATTTTTAAGATGAGTCGATTTTTTGTAGATTTAGTATCGGGTATTAAAATGTCGACGATTACTAGGTTTCATTATTCAACAGGTCGGAACCTATCGCTTTAGTCACACTCACAAGCCATTATTAAGACATATATTATTATACACATGATTTTACCTCGGAGTCTCTGAAAATGAAAAGAATAAAAAAAGTAAATCTAATTAAATTTAATGATAATAATAAAGTTTATATAGAAAAACTAAATTAATAAAATTAAGCTCGTAAACAGATTGGTTTTGATAAATTTGAAGAAAAGGATAAACTATCTCTTTAGTATTTCTTTCCCTTGGTGGAACCCTGAAGCCACGTCGCCAACTATCCGGGTTAGTTTTTATATTAAACGTGGTGGACATCAAGTTCATCAGATGTCGCCAGGCTGGGTTTTATTTGGTTTATATTTCTATTGAATCGTCGTTACTTTAATCTTCGTCCCAGAATTGCTATTTTGATAAAGGAGCTTTATTAAAGAGGATAAACATTGTTTTTCCGTTTTCTAAACATGAAGAATTAACACCTCTTACATTCTCTCCACAAACCACGCATAGAACATTAGTCCAATGCCCGGCCGTAGCTTATGGTGCTCAAAGAATTCGTTCCAACATTTCCTCAGTGGAATCACTGATGCTTAAAAATGGATAAATTTATCTCATATTTTTATTTTATATTGGCGATAGTGTTTCTGGAAAAGTCAACAATGGACATAATCGATAACACCTTACTTTATCTTGTGAAAAGTCTCTGTGAACCATGCCATTTTGAAAGATTGGCTAGTATTGCCCATTCGTTGAATGAATATTGAGATTATAGGGCAGCTGGCAGTGCCGTCGCATTCGTCCAAGAGGCCAACGTAAAGATCCTCGATTCTTTTGGAAAGAAGCAATCTGAAACTGATGTTCGAAGCCTATAAATGCTTCTAGACAGATTACGAGGACCTTTTTATGGTAATACATTTCCCAACATGTCAGCCGCCGCTTCTAGAAGAGTCACTTTGCTAAGAGTGCCATCCTCACACACACACACACACACACACACACACACAAAAAATCTTTGGAAACTCGAGCCTATATCGATATTTACATTCAGAAGATGCCAGAAGAAGACGACCTTCAACTTGAATATATCTTCTGTTTCATATAAGTGGTGCAGAAGTTTCTAAAGACCGTCGACCAAGAAGAGCGAGTCTTCAGAGACAAGATGTCCGAAGAATCTGTAATTCTTATAAAGCGTCCGGGAAGAAAGTTTTGGGACGAGCCAACTTCTTTAATGCTTCATCAATCTTTGAATATTCAATCTTTGATGCCGCACACCGAACAGAAAAGGATCTCAATTTGATGAGCATATGCAGATTTGATATTTTTTTCACTAAACGGACTGCCTGATACTATTTACTATAAAATCAATAGCTGGCCATGTATGTCTTGGACACGAATAGACCCATCTTGGTTATCCTATTCGTTTACCATTCGTGAACGTATCCAATCTAGGAACCTTCTTCCTGCGTTTCTTCTCCGTGTCATTGCGAACCTTGAAGAAGCCATGGTAGAACACCTGACAGCCACGTCGACCTATGGCCAACTACCCTCACCGCCTACTGAAGCTGTTCGAAATCGCCACACCGATTTCTTAAGTATTATTCATATGAAAGCGTTACTTTAAGTAATATCATACCTATACATCTTATTTCAAGTTTAGTGTTAATAATGTATATACTGAAAGTTTGATTTGTGAGTTAGCGTTATTCATGTTGTATTCCTCGGTAGTATAGTGGTTAGTATTCCCGCCTGTCACGTGGGCGACCGGGGTTCGATTCCCCGCCGGGGAGCTTTTTTTTAAAATTATTTATTTTATTTGGATCATCTGCGATCATACTTTATTGAAAACACAGGTCCTCGTCTTTTCACCGAAGTTAAGCAACATCAGGGGCCAGGTCAGTACTTGGGAGGGTGACCACTTTGGAACACCGGGTGTTGTTGTAGGCGAATTCTTTTGTGGTGACATGTAGAATTCGCATAAAGCGAACGTGCACGCGGGAGAAATAAATTGTTGCTACAGAGAATATATATTTGACATTTCCCATCATTCGCGCGGTTAAAATTTGTATTTTTGTGGCACACACACAATATGTTTCTTTTCACATATCAAAGATGATCTCTACAGACCTTACTGTGCAATGATAAAAGTTAGAAAATGAGAGGGCTTGGCTCATCAGTGGCGAATCCTCTCATATAATAACTTTTATCCTTGCACGGTAAGGTCTGTAGAAGTAATATTTGATATGTGAAAATAAACATATTGCTAAAAATAAGTGTTTGAGAATATATATATATGGTAATTTAAAACAACAACCTCATATGGTGTAGATAACTTATAACAAGATTGCCATGTTGTATATAGAAACCCATCTATAAATAATTATGCGCATGATTAATCTGTGTCTTTACATCACCCTATGTAATGTAATTTGTACAAAGTGGATAAATAAATAAAATCTGTAATAGATTTAAGAGTTGAGCTAAAGCAGAGATCGAGCATAGTATTGCCAAAACAACAGTCTAAAGATGGAACTCATAAATCAGGTAGATTCACAATTCCCACGACAGGCCACCCACACTGTCACATGTGGTGGAATGCAGAGACCCCTCTCACACCTGGACAGGTAAAGGCGCCCTTTCTCAAACGCCCCTGTCACATAAGGTCACCCCGTCTTTAACCTATAAATCATCACCTTACAGTGGCTTGACAGCTCAGTACAGTTCAGTCAGTTGAGTTTAGTTCACCCTTAGCGTCAGCTCACGTCGGTCGTACCTTATGTCGATCTCAACTATCATGTAGACGAGTAAGAAACTTCTATGTCTCCATCTTGCACTTCTAGCTCAGCTTTTATCTGTTAACGGAACTTTCTTAGTGTAACTGTGTCTTCGTTTTTGTGTGGATATCCCCAGCTTTCCACTCTGCCTCGACCACGACTGCCTGTATTTTGTGAGAACTTTTAAAGGTCTTCCAAGGTGCAGAGAGGTACTGGAAAACTCTACATCCTGACTGTTCCTCTTGGTCAACACAGTACAACAAGAGCTACCAGGACTTCAACTTTTATTTCAGTAGCCGACAGGATAACCAAAACGAAGGATACCAAATGAAGAAAGCTAGATAGTCCAGATAGAAGCGAGAAAGTGCAAAGATGGAAGAGCAACCCGAACAGTCCAACGATGCGACCGGGCTATCTGTTCCCCAACAAGATACGACATTTGAAGAGGAGGAAACGTCGCCGCCCCAAGGGACCTCCGCTGACACAGATCGCCGATGCCCTGAATAAGCTGCTGGCCACCCGATCTCCGAGGGAGATAGATGTGAGTCCATACGATGGTACCTTTGAAGCCCAGAGCTTTTTCGACAACTTCGATGCCCAAGCAGACCGAGCTAAGCTGACCTACACGGACCGCCTACGCAAGTTACCCTGCTACCTGCAAGGTAAGCCCCTACAATATTTCCGAAACCTACGGTTAGATAGGTTATTTTATATTGATGTCCGCCAAACCTTGATCGATTTATTCCCAACAGCGACAGAAGCGTCGTTTTCACGCTTCCTAGCCATCAAATTGACACCCCAAATGCCCCTAGAAGACTACTACCAAAACAAAACGGTAATGGGCATGAAATTAAACCTACCCGCCGACATATTAATAGATTCTCTGACCGAAGGACTACCCGTCGCAGATCAGCGATTAATCGCCACGGTGCAGCCAAACACCATTAAAGAATGGTTCGACCAAGTGTCGAGAATAAGAAGAACCCAGTGTGCTACCAGTGCAGTGTACTAGCGCCAAGTAGACAAGGCCCCACATCCAACCTACCACAACCCACCACCGCGGCACAACAACCAGCGGTCATCACGTGTAACGTACCAAGTTGCACCCCCACCCTCGCCTTGCAAGTATTGCAATGCTATGCACTGGCACTCCCAGTGTGAACAACGGTTCCAACAGGACCGAACACGCCAAGTCTACAGCGCCAGACCACGCACAACCACTGTACCAAAATCTGGTACCCGACCCAAGGTCCAATCTCGGAGCCCTGTTCCCCAAGTCCAAGCTGCAAGCCGAGACGACTCTACAAGCCCCGCGAGCAGCTCAACGGTAGGAAAACCTGAAACTTATTTTCGTTGAACAGCTTATAATATGGACTGAATTGTCACCAAATGTAAATTTGCCCTTTTTAATAGACACGGGAGCATCTATAAACCTACTTAACTTAGATATTTTAAGAACCATAGAAAATAGGTTACCATATAAAATTATTATCCATCAGTACAGTTTAACTATAAACGCAATAGCCCACAATGTAAATACCCTTGGATATATATTTTTAAAACTTAAAATAGGTAACCTCACCCAAAAACTAAAATTTTTTATAGTAGAAGCTTCACTACCTTTTGGTATTTTATCTATTAATACCCTTAAAATATTTAAATTAATCATAGATTTTAATAATCTCCAAATTTATCAAAATAATGAAGCTCTCCCAACGAATGTCTATAAGTTCACCAAGTGCAAACAGGATTTATGTCCCACTCAACCGAGAAAAACGGATATTTTTACCACCTTCCCCTCGAACCAATCCTGTTTACACGTGGCGGACCCTACCCCAATTATATGTTCCCCCACTATTGTTTCACCCACTATATCTCCTACCCATGATATTGAGATTTCTATACCTTCTAATGCGACACCTCAGTTAGAACATTGTCCACACGAACTCCACCGAATTCTATATGAATTCTCGCATGTGTTCTCTACTAATAAATACAATGTGCCCAAATTGAACATACCACCGGTAAAAATCAATACCACCACAGATAAAATAATAGCATTACGCCCATATAGAGTGCCACTACACGACCAACAAGAAATACAAACCCAAATAGAGCAAATGCTCCAACATGGAATTATTGCCCCGTCAGTTTCACCTTATGCCAGTCCAATAACTCTTGTTACAAAACGTGACAAAACGAAACGTTTCTGTATTGATTACAGAAAACTTAATGAAATCATCGCTCCAGACGTACATCCTTTACCTTTAATAGAAACTATTCTTGACAAATTGTCGAAAGCCAAATACTACTCTTCTGTAGATATAGCATCCGCATATTGGCAAGTGGAAGTAGAACCTAACTCACGTAATCTACTAGCTTTCGTGACGTTGGATAGTCAGTACGAATTTTGTAGACTTCCTTACGGATTTAAAAATTCGCCACAGATATACCATCGTGCCATAAACCAGGTCATGCAAAAATATAAACTAAATTTTGTTACCCATTACTTCGACGATTTCATTATTTTTTCTGACACCTTAGAGGATCATCTACAACACCTACAACAATTTCTAACGGTATGTCAACACGAAAACATCAAACTCAATTATAACAAATGTTCGTTTTTTAAAACAAATATGGATTTCTTAGGATACACTGTTACCGCAGGTACTTATGCACCACAGACGCGCAACCTTGATACCATAAGTGCCATCAAACCACCTACCAATCAAAAGACATTACAATCATTTTTAGGAGCAGTCAACGTGTATAATAAGTTTATACCAGATTATGCCCGCTTACGTGCACCTTTAAATAAACTACTCAAAAAAGATGTGAAATGGAATTGGGACCCAGATTGTCAACAAGCCTTCACCACTCTCAAAGAGAGTTTAACCAGTAAACCAGTACTACACTTGTATCAAGTCGGTTTACCATGCCGCCTTTATTGCGACGCATCCACCCAAGGGATCGCAGGCATACTCAAACAGGTACATCCAGACGGACAAGTACATCCTGTACAATATTTCAGCCGCGCCCTTAGAGCACATGAGAGAAACTACACCGTTTCCGAACTCGAGTGCCTCGCCATCGTCGAAAGTGTAGACAAATTCCGAATATACCTCACCGGTATAAAATTCACCATATACACAGATCACCAAGCTTTACAATGGCTTAAAACTATAAAAAAAATCCGTCAGGACGACTCTTTAGATGGAGCCTGAGACTATCTACCTATAATTACGAAATTCACTACCTCAAAGGCAGCCAACAGTACGAAGCAGATTTGTTATCGCGAAACCCCTTTGTAGGATTTGTCAGTGCTGATATTATCAAACAGCATCAACCAACAGCATCCCCCTTCAACATTGATACAAACGGCTTACATACCATTACCCGAAAAGGTGTAATTAAAATAATAATTCCCGAAACCCTGCAACATACTCTAATGAATAAAGTTCACCAAGAATATAACCACCCAGGCATCTCTCAGATGACCCGCATAATTACTGCCCAGTACTACTGGAAAGGTATCTCTAAATCTATAGAAAAATTTGTCAAGTCGTGTCACACCTGCCAAATCATTAAAAGGCCCAAAGGTAAACCCTATGGTGCCCTTGGACAAATTCCACCACCTCAACAACCATTCGACTTAATCTCTATAGATACCATAGCTGGATTCTCGAAATATGGACACTCCAAGACATATCTACACGTAATAGTGGATCATTTAACGCGATATGCTTGGACCTTTCCATCGAAGTCCACCAGTACCCTAACATACATTCAAACCCTCAAAACGGTACTACAGCAAGGATCTCCAAAACGTCTGTTATCTGACAGAGCGCCCGCTTTTACCTCAGAAAAATTCCGTAAATTTCTAATAACGCATGGTATACAACCTCTACTAACTACCAGCAATAACCCACAGGAAAACGGTTTAATAGAACGCTTAAATGCGACCATTACAGGCAAGCTCAGACTAGCTTATCTAGAAAATCCGAAAGCTTCCTGGACTCAACTAGTTAAGCGCGTCACTCAGACGTACAATAACACGCCCCATTCTGTCACAAGTTTTCCACCTACCTACTTAATGTTCAATGTTATCCCCCCCAGATCTAAGAACTCATCTTGACCCATACCCCGAAATAAATATAGCTCGAGAGATAG